GAAATAATTTTTAATTTTGTATAATTCCATTTCTTTCTCAGTTCTATATTTTACAGTGAAGAGAGGACAATTAAATAGATAGCTGCGACTATAAGCGGTGAAACCTTAGCTAGTTGTAACGTGTAGCCTGATGTAATTTTCCTCAGCAGGAGGTGCTGGAGAGAGAAGCCCACCTGTCAGTGGTGTTTAACGTTGGAGGTGCTGATCATGCGCTGTGAGAGGCTCCCTGGGCCCTTGGCTCCGCGTCAGGTGATGAGGGAGTGGGAGGACGGAGAGTGAGAGAAACATGGACAGTGTCAGGGTGGGTTGTGAGAATATGGGAGACTTGGGATAAATATTTTTATGAAGGGAAGGCAATAAAAGAAATAAAACTAGTCTGTCTATACAAACTTTCCCTTGTTGCCTGTACTTTTCAGGGCTGTTATCTGCAACCACAAAGAGGGCATAGATCATAGTGTCTTTTCTTATTCTTTTTGAAAGCAGTCTTTTTAAATTTCTTACACTGTGCTCTCAACTCAAGCTATTTAAAAATCAGATATAGTTTCCAAGATCCAAAATGCAGCCTTGTGGTGTGTGGACAGACATTTGTTTGCCTATTTATTTCTGGTCAGTTCTAAAGTGGACCTAAACTACTCTTTTGTGTGTATGTGTGCTTATTTTTTAATATATTTAAATTTTTCAGTTCCAGTTGACCTGCAATATTTATTTTAGTTTCAGGGGTACAACCTCGTGACCTGAATTACTCTTGAATTAGCCATAGAATTGCATCCTCCTTTCTTCCTTTTCCCCACTCTTCCCTCTCTTTTAGATTCACCTTCAGTTATTGAGTCCAGAAAAGTTGCGAGGAGGTTGGAGTGTAACGGATAGTGTGGCCTTGCCTTGGAGATGACAGTGATTGTTAACTTTATCAAGTGATTACACCAGGCACTACTTTAAGTGCTTTCTTTATGACAGTCTTACGTAGCAAAAGTTCTTGTACTGTTCCCTCATAGCATGATGCTGTATTGACGCCCTCATTACATATTCGGGAACAGAACATTTAGCTGTGATCTTGTCAGAGACTTTCTGGGTTAACTTTATTAGCTGTGTATTAATTATGCATAAGGAGGAAATAACAGTAAGTTGATAAAGTTAAATTGATATTTTAAAAGGAGAGTTTTATCCCCCCCCACACACACACAAACACAAGGAGAAAAATACATGATCATGAAAAATGCTGAGACTAGAAACAACCTAGAGGTTCTATAGGTAGTTACATGTTATATACACAACGTTTTATCATGTTTCTGTCAGAATTAATAATGGACTATTATTGCTACCTGTAAAGATGCACTGAAAATGGTAAGTGAACAAAACCCCATAAATTTATATCCACACTGACAATTAAAATATAGATCTGTGTAGCACTTTACAACCAAGAAATGTGTCTCTCCATTAATACAACTTTGAGGAGCTGACAAAGAGCAGACAGAATGAGAAGAGGTGACGTGTGGAAAGCAGTGTTGACCAGTAGGGCAAAGGAAACAGGCAGTTTAGAAGAAGGGTTAGAATATAAGAATAACAAAAAGAAGGTCAATGGAAGGATTTTGGTCCTGTCAAATGTTCCAGGAGACCTTTAGGGGCAAAGCTCTGTGCCCTAGAAGTGGACATTTTCCCACAGAAACTGTAGGGCAGCATTTTCCCAAAGTGCTTTCAGCAAAATTGTTTATAAAGGTCTGTAATTGTTCCATGTAAATAAAAGTGTAGTGAAGGAGATTTGGGAAATTTAAGTTTCATAAAATTATGCGGGATTGTTTTGTGTAGAACAGGACAGCACCTTTACTGTAATGAGCATCTTCTAGGTGAGCAGCGTTTCATCAAGGCAGCTGCCTGAGACCAAAGCGCGGCTGTTCTTGTTCCGGGGACAGCTCCTGCAGGAGGCCCTTCGGAGACGCACTGCAGTGTTGCTGAGGGTGCGCCTGCCGTAGGTTACAGCGCCTCACAGGGAAGTTCCCAGCCTGAGGCATGGTCACATGTCCTGGCCATCTTTTCCTTTTGAATAAAAATTCATGAAGATAAATTCAGTGGCTAATCTAAAAGTAATCTTTGGTTTTCATATCAGAAGTATGCTATATGGAGAAGTGAAAATGGAGACTCTGCATTTGATTTGGGTTTAATCTGTTAGGATTTAAGATAAGCCTACTCTACATTTGTAAAGAAACAGCATATAGCTCTTTGCTGGTTTCAAGGACCTGGCAGGTGAACAAAAAGGATGAAGATTGTGTTTGTATTTAAGTACAACCTGATGGCATTCTCCATGTCTCCCCCTCACTCAGCCCCACTAGATTTCCTGCCCACCCCTCACTTCACAATTGCCCACCAGAGCCTGTGACTGCTTTCTGTCCTCAGGTCCTCCTCGGAGATCCCTGCATCACTCAGCTGTTTTCTGCCCCCCCCCCCCCAGGAGCACTTGCCTCTCTGGCCCCTGTCTCCGTGGTGTTGCCCTCACCTGGTGTTGGTCCTTCTCAGGCATTTCCAGTTGGCTGTGCAGGTCCCTGATGCCCGAGAGCTGTGTCGGATCCCCTTTTCCTCGTGTACTGTCTTCCTAGGTGGTTTCCTTCAGAGTTGTGACTCTTCATATCCTCTGCCTCGTGAGGACTTCCCAAATCTGTTTCTCCAGCTAAAAACCAACCATCGTGCTCCAGAGAGTTACCTGCTCGCACTTAAACGTCTTACAGATACCTCGGGCTCTGTGTCCCAGACCAATTCCTGATGCTGTCGTCTGCTTCCCAGCTCATCTTTACTCCCTCTTCTCTGTCTGCTGATGGCACCGCCACCTGTCCAGAGGTTTCCTCCCCAGTCTCTTACTCCACTGCTTTCGACTCTGCCACCACCTTGGTCCAGGCCACCATCTCTCTCACTTGGATGAGCACAGTTTCCTCTTCCCTGGTCTGCCCACTTTGCACCCACTCTTTGGTCGGTTATCTTTTTGAAATATCAGTCTGATCATGACATCCATTTTAAATATAGCTTTGTAATGGCTTCCCACTCACTACACAATTTAGAACAAAATCCAAACTCTTCATGGCCATAAAGGGACCTCCACAGTTTGGTCCTTCCCGTCCTCCTCCCTCATACTGTACAGTCTGCCCTGTACAGTCTGCCCTGTGCTCACTGTGCTGCAGGCACAGGGGCCTGTTCTCAGTCCCTCAAGCATGCTAACCTCGGAGAGGGGCAGCGGGGGGATGTGGGACTGGAGGCAGACGGGCAGGTGCAGAGACTCAGGAGCTGCAGACAAGAGAGAAGGAGGGAATGAAATGAACAGCTGGCAGAGGGAGAGGAGGGAACAGAGTTGAGAGATTTTTAAAACACTGGTGGTTAGAGGGAAAATGATTTACAAATTTCTTCTAGTTTGTAGAACTAGGAGATGGAAGTGTTCAGAGGGAATTTGGAGAGTACAGGTGAGGAGCCCATTTTAAGAGGAAAGGTGATTTCTTTTGAAATTATTGAGTTTGAGTTTGAAGTAATGATAGGATACATATTCATGATAAGTATGAGATGAGTAAAATAGGTAAGTATCCATAGTATTAGATATCCAGCCATTATGGTATATGTGACAATTAACGTACATTAGTTAAGACCTGGGGAAGACGTGCCGAGGAGAAGGACAACCAAGGACAGACCCTGGGGAACATACATGTTTAAGGAGATGCTAGTGGAAGAGAAGTCTCTACCAATATGACAGAGAGTGGTCAGAGAGGCAGGAAGACAACAGAACTGTCTTTCAAAGAGAAGGAAATAATAGCTCAGGCGTCACACACCATAGGAGCACCATGTTACTAATGGGAAGGGAATAATCCTTCCATCATAAGCTAACTAGTTTTCATAAGTGCTGACTGTACTTCCAACCCGAGCTAATTAGTCAAAGGATGGGAAAGGGTGCATGACATGTGGCTGTATCAGTTCAGTTTGATCAATGCCACCTCTGGAAAATCAATTCAGTACATCGATGTATTGGGATGGCAGTACATCGTCATATAAATATACTGTATCTTTATTATATACCATTTAATGAAATTGTAAAGCACTCTTATGCAGCTTGATTACCAATCATACTGTGACCATAGTGATAGTTAAGATTTTTTTTAAAGGGTAACATGTTTTACTGTAACGTGTAGTAGTATAGAAACGAGAGTTAAAGGAAGCTGTGCCATCTAGAGAAGGCAGATGTCCCCGGGACAGTCTCAGTTCAGTACCTGGTCCTTAGCTTTGGTCAGGCTGTGGGGGTGCATTTCATGTTAACCCAACTCATAAGATACTTTACCAGAAAGATGGAATGCCAATTAAGAAGACTATAGCAAAACACATAATTAGCAGACTAGCTATTCATACTTGTTGATATCTATGGGGAAAGTTTAGAATTGAGTGAAATATAAGCAGAAGGTTGTTTGGTAAATGTAAGCAGATAATTGCAGGGGAAGTTATCTGAATCATCTTACTCTGAAGGTGGGTAGAGAAAAGGTGCTTGTGCACAATATCCCCAGATCCAGATATTATAAATAAAAGTCAGCTGTCGGTGAGGGCCAGTGCCGAGGAGGCGGCGTGTAGGGAACCAAGAAAAGGAAGTCTCTAGTTCAGTGGTTCTCAACCTTCTTAATGCTGCGGCCCTTTAATGCAGTTCCTCATGTTGCATGTGGGCGGACCCGCCTGGAGACTGATAGAGGAGCGGTGTCTCAGTTCCTACGACCATCGGAAATCATGTGTTTTCCGATGGTCTTAGGCGACCCCCGTGAAGAGGTCATTCGACCCCCAAAGGGGTCACGACCCACAGGTTGAGAACCGCTGATCTAGTTGGAACAAGTGGCATTCCCCAAGCCTAATGACAAAAATGGACATCATTTCTTACTCGAAGGGAACCGGTTTGAGGGATTTGGAATGCTTTGTGTTAGTGAATAGTGTTTAGTGCAAATGGTTTTTGAAATGTATTAGAATGCTATAATAATTTTTCTTTGAACCTGCAGGTTCTCCTGAAAAGAAAATGGAACATTCATCCATGGATCAAGAAAATAGCTCTGCAAATCCTATGAAGAATAGAAAGACAAGTCCAGTATCTAAAGACCACAGGGCTGTAAAGAAAACCTCAGCGAGTTCGTCGGTACAGGGTCAAGTACAGAAGGGAAACGACGAGTCTGAAAGTGACTTTGAATCAGATCCCCCTTCTCCCAAGAGCAGTGAAGAGGAAGAGCCAGAGGATGAAGAAGTTCTTCAGGGAGAACAAGATTTCAATGATGATGATACCGAACCGGAGAATCTGGGTCATCGGCCTCTCCTCATGGACTCTGAAGATGAGGAAGAGGACGAGAAACATAGCTCTGACTCTGATTATGAACAGGCCAAAGCCAAGTACGGTGACGGGGGCCCCGCTTACAGAGACACATCCGGCAGCGGACCAATCCAAAACACGAATGTGACACCCCTGAGCCCAGCCCAGGCCCCCTCTGATGTTGGAGTGGCAACTCCCCAACAGGAGTTTGATGTGTTCGGTGCTGTCCCCTTTGCAGTGCCAGCTCGACAGCCCCAACTGGGGGAAAACGAGAAGAACCTCTCTCGACAGACCTGTTTTCCTACTGTGGGACTGGAGCGCGAGGAATTCGATGTGTTCACCAAGGCACCTTTCAGCAAGAGGGCGAATGCGCAGGATGGCCGTGCAGCGGGGCCGGAAGCACAGGCTCTCCCTGGTTGTCCCAAAAGTGTAGATATATTTGGCTGTACTCCATTTCAGCCCTTTCCCACTTCCACCGGTAAAAGTGATAGTCACGAGGACCTTTTTGGGCTTGTGCCCTTCGAGGAGATAACCGGGAGTCAGCAGCAGAAAGTCAAACAGCGTAGCTTGCAGAAACTGTCCTCTCGCCAAAGGCGCACAAAGCAGGACGTGTCCAAAAGTAACGGGAAGCGGCACCACGGCACCCCGAGCAGCGCGAAGAAGACGCTGAAGCCCCCGTTCCGCACCCCGGAGAGGGCCCGCAGGCACAAGAAGGTGGGCCGCCGAGACTCCCAGAGCAGCAACGAGTTTTTGACCATCTCAGACTCCAAGGAGAACATCAGCGTTGCGCTGACTGATGGGAAAGACAGAGGGAATGTCCTGCCTCCTGACGAGAGCCTGTTGGACCCCTTTGGGGCCAAACCCTTCCATCCCCCAGACCTGCCCTGGCACCCTTCACATCCGGGCCTGAGCGACATCTGTACTGACCACAACCCCGTGCTGCCTGGGCGGCCAAGACCCAATTCCCTCCATGGGTCATTCCACAGTGCAGATGCGCTGAAAATGGACGATTTCGGTGCTGTGCCCTTCACAGAGCTGGTGGTGCAAAGCATCACTTCACCTCAGCCCCAGCAGCCCCAGGCAGTTGAGTTAGACCCATTTGGTGCTGCTCCATTTCCTTCTAAACAGTAGATGCTTCGATGGACTCTAGCTGTTAACTCGTTTCAAAAAGTATGAATAGTTTTATGAATTTGAAAGAAAATGTATTTGTATAGCTCTTTATAGCATTCATTCTTACAGGTCAATCAGAATAGGTGTTTTTTAAATAAACCAAATAGCAAACGGGTGTGTCTCCACAGGGTAGGAACTTGGTGTCTCTTCCACACAGGAAGAGGGAGCCGAATCGGAAGCTCTGACGGTGGGTTCAGACAGCAGCACAGAGATGCAGGGCCAGCGTGTGGCGTTCGCAGTGCAGCCACTGGAGGGGGCTGGAGAGCTGTGCTGCTATTTTTATGCCAGAATGTCACTTTTTGTGCATATCCAGGCTCATTCCAGAACCCAGCATTAAAGCCAAGGTTGTCTGTACGTATATAGGTTGCACTTGTGGATTTTTTAAAGGTCACTTCTCATTTCCACACAGTAAAACGGAATCCTTTTCTCATAAAATATTAGAAAGCTATCATCTGGAGAATGCAGAGATTTTAGTCCTTGTACCTTTCTCTACAAAGCAGAGCCAGAAGTAACTATTGTGCCTAAAACTTTCATTTTTAAAAACAAGTGCCATTAATATGGAATATCTACATAGAAGCCTGGAACAAAAACTTGAGATATCTGACGTGTGCAAAATGTATAAGAAAAAATGATATGGGAGAAAAAGCAGTACTTGAAGAACATCTAGTATTCTGCTTTTTAATGACTTCTTGCTCAAAAATTTTATCATGTCCCTAATAAAGGAGATTATTGGAAAACTGGGACTGAGGATAAGGGTTATATAGAATTTTTATTTCAGGAAAAAAATATGTAGCTGAAATCCTGAGTTTTTTAAAAGATGTTTACAATGTAAAATCATGTTGCATTTAGTAACATACTTGATTAAATCACCACCTTCACCAAATGTTCCTCAAGTCATGAGCGACAGTGATTTTCGTTAGGTTTGGGGGTGGAGTGGTTGTGGTGAAGTGCACAGAACAGGGAAAGCCACAGGCCTTACGGGCAGGACGGACCCTGCTGTGAGTACCTCTGCACTGAGAGACGAGATCTGAAAACGGCCGTAAGGCATCAGATGATGAGGGACTAGTGTCTTAACTCCGTTCATTGATTATGTCTTTAGTGAATGAACCCAGCTACCAAATTGCCTTTTTTTAACGCCACAAATCCTAATTAGAAACTTGAGATTTTATAGAAATTGTCTGATGAGAAATTGCATATATGAATCAATGTGAATACAGTATCTGTGCTTATGTCTTCAAGTATTTAAAGTTATAATTGACTGTCCTTCCCTATCAAATGAACAATGAGCAGTTTCTAGGACTGATAAAGCTATTTACAAAGAGTGGAAACCCTTTTCAGCTGGCACTCCCCTTGATTACTATATTTTAAATTAATTCTTTGAACCCAATTAAAGTGTATTTTATGAGTAATCTTATTAGAATCTCTTAATTATAGTGTCCCTATTGGGATGAGCTGTTTGCTTGCTTTCACAGTTCTAAACTTGGAAAGAAGCAATATATATGTAACTATACCATATATTCCTTTTTATTGCTTCTCTTTTCTACTTTAAGATGGAAACAGATTGGTGGACACACAGGGAAGCAGTATGTGAAGCACAGTGAGTGGAGGCAGACCAAACATCCCATCACGGCTTACGAGCTGTGCCTGGGAGCCTGGCTGCACCGGTACTTGTCCTGTGCCAAAGGCAAATACTTTGTTTGCACCTTTTTTTTGTCTGATTCTCAGGTTGATTAATACTGCTAATGCAAATGCTTAAGTAGAGGTTCTTTAAAACTTTACAAAGTAGATTCAAGGGATACTTTCTTATAAAAGTGGAGAGTTGATTACATATAGTAAATTCATGAAGTACAGTAGGTTTGTATCAAACAGAAGAATTTTTTTTTTCTTTTTAATGAAAATCTGTTGGTTGATGTGTACACAGTAATGCTTCTTTGACTATTTTAGTCCTTGGCCTTGGTCTCACTGCTAGACCTCATGAGCTTTGTAATTTAGAAGGGGTAGTGCATAAATTAGTGTGGTCTCTAAGGACTTGCTTACACTTGCTTTTCATCAACACACTGAATATTTTTAAATGACTTAGACTCTGGCTTATAATGTTGGGTAAATTATAAAGTTGGATAAACAACTTTGACATTGTTTAAAATACTCACATTAGTATGTTTCTTGTATCACAGCCCAGTGACTTTCCTCTTTACAGATTATAGCTCAGAGGAAACACAGGATTCATCAGGGGACTGGGTGGGATAGAAATGGGAGACTTCTTTGTGTTGAAGTAGAGGCATTTCCCCAAGCAGTACAGGATGAGGGTTGCTTTCCATTTGCAGTCATCTGCTCCCACTACTGTTAGGATGTAGGTCACTCCATACAGCTGATGCCCAGGTCATTCTCTTATGAGAATTATGAGAATAAAGCTCCCAAGGCATGTGAAAAAGTTTAACATATACTTGGCACACAGCACTCAGTAATAGTTTGGCTCTATTATGGGATGGTCCAATTCTTATTTAAAGAAAGAAAGTTGAAAAGAAATTATTTTCCTATTATTAATCAGGTGTGCTCTGTGCTTCTTTGGCATGTTAAACAGTTATAATTCTAAACCTGTAATACTTGAACATCACCAAGGGAAGAACATATTATGAAGCTAGCAAAAATCTGAGGCCAAAGTTATTTCTGCTCTAACAGCTTTAATCATGCTTGTTGATTCTGAATAATCTTTACAGAAGTGGACCATTTGCTTACTTATTTTAATAGAATCACTTCAGCAAAATGTTAGTAAAGATGAGCTTTTATGGCATTGAAGAATGTATCTGTTAAGACACAAAAGTTGCCTGGTATATATATGTTAGGTGGAGGAGGAAAGGTGGGCTGGATGGACATTTAACTGACTAGAATATTTATTCAAAAGCATCACCTGGGGAAATGGTGTCATTGTCCCACTGACCCGGTGTATTTGGACACAGCTATGACATTATTCGGGACTGTAGATAAATGCACCTTCTGACTCTGCCCTGGTCATTGTTGAACAGTGATAGATTCTCCTCCTCATCTTGCTGGTGGAGGTGCCAGGGTGGGCCGCTCTCCGCTCCGACGCTCCCCAGGCGGAGCAGTTCCTCTCCAGCTACTCTGCTGCTTTAGCTTAGGTTTTGGTACTACATACAAACACTGCTGGAATACATGTGTACGAATCACTAGTCCTGAGGGGTTTGGGTACATTTATTTTAATATATGTAGAATGTGCAGTATACCTTTTTTTCTTTTTAAGCAAAATTACTCACCATTTTAGGTTCAGTATTGAGACAGATCTACTGTGAGAAAGATGGCATACTTACTGTGAGAATAACACATGGTAGTTGATTAGAAAACCTTTATACACACTGGTGTTCATATATTAAGGTAAACACACACACACATGCACATGTCACATCGCTCTTCGGTGGGTTAATGTGAATTTTTACCTTTTCAATGGAATTGCAACCACAATCATTACTAAGAGAATCTTCACTCCTGGCGAGGGTTTAAAAAAGCCACTAAAAGAATACAGCAGATGAAAATGCAAAGGGTCATCATTTGGGGTTATTTTTATTTAAAAACTTACTGTGCTACTTTTGAAAGAAAATGGTTTTTATTACTACACCCTTTTTGGGATTGAGTCATCTATCATAAGCAGTATGGTCATAGTCAACTGCTTTCTAATTGCTGGAAAACAGCTTTAAGTGCACTTTCTTTGATTACATTTCCATTTTTTGTTAAACTTGAATTTTCTGAAGCCTTTTATGTACCACTAAGCAAATAACTTTAACTTTTAGTAAGCCTGATTTGCATCTTTATTATATTTTTAATTGTTACAAAACGTACTTTTTAAAGTAACATCAATTCAAATATAGCTGGGATACTGTTGTGAGATAGAACCAGTTGATTTTTCCTCCTGTATCTAATTAAGCACTAACTGATTTTACTCCTTGGCCTTGACATTGCTTCTTCTTACTGACTGAATTGTCTCCTATTCACTGTTTTGTTTGAAATTTAAGGTTATTTTCTTACTGTATTTATCATACCTGTTTTAATAATCTGCTTTCTTTAAATGCAATAAATCTCAAATGGATTGCATATTCTTTATAATCAGTGACTGTGGAGTTTTTCATTATTTGTCTTATTAAAAACTTTGGTTGTAAACTTCTATCCAGTTCTTTTATTTACATCACAGACAGTGAGTACTTATTATGTAGCAGCTAGTGGAAGAGCAACGAATAGGGTTAGATCTCTGAGTTCACAGTTTAGGATTCAAGTAAGAAAACCCATTTTGACAGCATTTTCACAACAAAAGTACTTAACAGGAAGACCTGTTCAGGCACTACAAGTGTTGATACTATGATGAAGGGAAGGCAAAAACATAAGCCTCTGACATGCCTTTTGAATGTTTGGCAGTTTTTGCATTGTTTATAATTTGTTAAACTTTAAAAACTGGTAACAAACATAACTTAAAATTTGGTTAAATAAAATATTGTAATCCTTGATTGTGTCAGAAAAGAGGCTTTTGCAAGATAAAGAGAAAAACCTGTTTGTTGGATTGCTGAACTAAGTTTGGCGTCAAGGTTGCAACATATTATCTCATTAAGTATTCCACAGACTGGAGTCTTCAGATTGGTGGCTTGTAAGATTTATCTTCCTTGTTATGAATGAGCTTTATTTTGTTGAAGAAGTAACATTTATCTAAAGTTATGTGGAAAAATAAGGGCTTTGTGTCTTTTTAATACATGGTACAAAGGAGCCAAATTTCACAAATTAGAAGAATATTAAAAAACTATGTGGAATGTTCAAATTCAGTTAAGGTTAACTTCGGAGACAAAAACATGCTCCCTTTTTAAGGAGGTCCAATAAAAATAAAAAGCAAGTCCAGCTCCAGCATCCTGTGTAAGATGCAGCCAAGTCTCATATGGAAGGCATGAGCTTTTGAGTTTTTTTTGTTGCACATTTAAAAAGATAGTTCACTTTTGCTTCAGATGCTTGACACAATTGAAATTTCAACTGTGTTCTGTGGTGCTCTTGATCTTAGATTTATAAAGGGCTAGATCCTTTGTGGCTATCAGTCCTGACCCCTTAGAGATGAAAGTTTTACTTTTTGCAAGAGTCCCCCTACTACTATTCCTTCTCCCTTCTGAAAGTGTTTTCTCACAGTGTTTGTTTTGGATCAGCAGCTCCCTACCCTACTGAGAAAGTATGGTACAGAATTTCAATAGCATCTGTGCCTCTTTTCAAGGTAAGCACAGTTATGGTGATAATGCACATGCAAGACATTGCTGCCCCTCGTCTAAGGCTGAGCTGACTCTTCGCATGCTTTGGCAGGGGTGGAATTACCTGGAATGAGGATTTGGGTGGATGTGGCCTAACTCAGCTCAGCAGTCGGCAGGAATCCAGACGGCAGGCTTTGGCCCTTGACATTTAACACAGGGCAAAGGATATCGCTAGGTAGGTACCTGCCAAATGGAGAGTCGTACAGCTTTATGCCAGTCAAGTCAGTCTTCAAATCGGTTACTTTGTCCAGGTGGGAGGTCATAAGATGTGACAGACATTCCCTGAATCTTCATTCCTGATTCTAAAATATGATTTTGAAGCTGTTATGTATTATAAAGAATGACAAGCAGAACTTAATATATTTAGTAAATCAGTTTATTTACATAATACATATTTTGCCATGCAGGTTGCAAATTGCGCTCAGTTAAATAATAAAAACAAGCACTATCTTGCTATGTAAAAATGCCTTTATATAGAAAGATAATTGTTTCTTAAATGAGTTAACTACAACCTTATAAATCACTATGGACCATTTAAAACAGGAATGGATAATTTTACAATGTAAAGGCTGTCAGTAAAGAGCTTTTATATAGGTAAAATTAAAACCAGTCTTTTTAATTCTGTAGCTAAATAGTGTACTTTCAATCTTATTTTAACCTAGTAAAACAAAAATAACTTAAATATACATTACTACAAGGCTCAGATTTGTAGGCAATTTTTAAAGTTATTCTTTAATGTTAACAATGTTTTAAAAATGTTGCCAGTAGTGATGCGCACACAGTAGGTGGTCAATAAATGCTGATATACAGAAGTGTTCATAGTCAACAGCAATCCACACCCATTCATTCCTACATTACAACAAACACATCATAGTAAAGATAAGAATGAGAAAGGACAGCTTTCTTACAATATTAACACTTTCATGAAAAGACGAAATGCTTACATTGTATAATTCTTCTTACAGTCAGAACTTTTATATTCAAAAAATAGTCTTAAACACATTATGCTCTTTTTAGCTATTCAGATGACAAGTACTAAATCATACATTGTAACAAAAATCGAATATTTTAAAAAATTAAAATGAACTTAACATTCAATATGTTTTTGAGAATATTTTATAACAAAAATGGTGCCAGACCTAAAATAACTAGACTTCTTCATTTTTAAATTAATTGTAAATAGAGTGTTTTGTTTGGCCAGAATGACTACATATTTACTTAAAAGCAATAATATCATGTAAGCCAATAAGAGATGTTTTAGGGAATATATCCTATTATCATTACACCAGACTCTTCTATTTAGCACGTGGATCAAATTTGTGGCCTTATGAGATAAAATGACCATCTTCAAAGTAGTGTTCCATCTAAACACAGTGTGTTCTTGGCCTACTGGGCAAAATTCTCCTTGCTGAGACACTAGCATGGGGAATTTATATTCCGAAAACATTACACTGGAGAAAAATACAAAATTTTCTGGATGCAAAAACAAGCACGTTAAAGTTAACATTCCTAGTATCAGACATACAAATGGCATTTTGGGAATATGCTTCACCATCAAGCAACACTTCTGATGCTTAGTAATTCCAAGATTCTGAAAATATACCACTATTTAAAGCAGCTCATGTCAACCTATTAAGAAACTTGGGTAATGTTTTATATTCCAATAAACAACAAGTTTTTATGAATGACTTTTTTAAGGGATTTAATTTATGCATATGAAAAAGACCAAAGAACAAGAGTGTTACACTGTATGACAGGGCATTGAGATCTATTTTTTAAGTATATACAATAAAATTCCCACTTAATGTTTCAGGCCCAAAAAGTAGTATGTTATCAATTCTTTGAGTTATCAATACAATGCTAACACATGCATAAACAAAGACCAGAGCACAGGAAAATCATCTGCCATCACATGGGGCATCTGCATGACTTTGTTCTAAGGCTTAAGGTTCAGTTCAGGGTCAAGACTGGGCCATCTGGATTCTATGGCCTTGAAAGTAGCACCCATATAGCTGGGAACCCCCCATCACCAGGACATTTAGGACTGCAGATTCAGAGAGGTGGAAGTTCTGCTGCAGGGATTTTGGAACCAAAAATCTGCAATCCACTGGCAAGAGTTCAATTATTATATGGACTTAATATTATTTGAAATTAAAAAGCTTAAATGGCTAATTACTTGGTTATCAGACTATAGAATCTGTCACCTGATCATGTGATTTTAATGTGATTCTTATCTGATGGGAAATAAAAAATCAATTTCTTTTCCTCTTCTCAACACCTCTTTCAACTTAAAGGAGAAGAGGTTTAAAATTTTTGTTCCAGCAAACTAAAAAATCCAGTGTTCCTAGGGAGAAGAGAACCCACAGCTAAAGGAAATAATCTTATGCGCCAGCTTCCCACAAACCATGTATTTAAAGGCTAGCGGAGATTCAAAATCACTGTCCTAGCTTGTGAAAGCATAGGCTATCGCAACCCTCGCCTTGATCAGGCACTTGGTCATCTCTGTAAATATTTTCTATTAAAGTAATCAATCACACAGGATGACTCCATTTTATAATGGAGGTGAGCCCTTCCTAAGGAAATTAAGCTGGTGTAAGTAAAATGATTACTATGTCTACACTGGTTTCACATTCACTGTTACTCAGATGTTTCTTTTAAATGCCAACTAACTTTCACTTATTGTACAAGCAGCAAATTAGTAGTTTTAAGGGCCTGTAAAGCACTATTATAGATCCTGAAGTGTATTTTTCCACTTTTATAAAATAGTACTCATGATATATTAAACAGGAAAAAGGAAAAGCTAATGGGAGCCTTAGAAATATTGGGGTATACAACTCCCCGTTATATATTGCTTAACAGCTGAATACACCAGGTGACCATACCTGAATTCACAAATGTGAAACATAGTCAGGACAAGGCTCGCTGTGTCTGTACTGCATGACATACACTGTTGACTGGTGCCACCAGTATAACATCACTACTGCCAGGATGTGCCATATTTGGTGGCTTGATCCGAGGTAGTTGAGTTGTCCTGGAAAGGAAGAGAGAACAGAATATTGATTATAATATTTGGATATTAAAAGTACATTTTTATCTGTGACCTTGGAAATATGACTCAGCAGCAGAACAATTTTGGTAGTCTCAGAGCTCCTAGAAACTGATTTGAGATTAATTAAGACCCAAATATTTTTAAAGAAAGGACAAATTCATATTTGAGTCTCATTTTAAGGTTTTATTAATAAAGTACACTGGTGAATTTTAGAAATACTATTCTAAGTGTGTTTTCAAATATCTAACTTGGTTAATTTCAGGAATTTGACCTTCAGTCTCCCATGTCTCAACTTGCATCAGGTGAAGAGAGCGTCCCCGAGACGCACAGAAGGCGGTGCCAGCGACCGGGACTGTGCTGCTACGAAGCGGGCGCCCTGCGGGGTTGGCTGTGAGTCTGCTAGAAGCACTTTTCATGTCAAGCAGCTGTGTAAGGAGAAAGCTCAGATCTGAATCTTGAGCTATCGGGTGAATGAATAATCTGCAAAATGTAATTAGTGATGGGTTAATTAAGGTTAGTTCATATACAGCTCAGGAGAACTATTTCTCTTTGTGGTTAAAGGTTAAATTCCAAGGAGGTTAAATAATTAATATGTGGGAAGCTTCTTGAAAAATAATGAAATAAAAGAGCTAAAGAAAATTAGATGTAAATAACTTTTTCTTACTCTTGATGTTTCTATGAACATGGAATGTAAATATCTCTAACCTCTTTTTTTCTTACCAAGAAAAGTAATCAGTACATTATGAATATGTTAAAGTGTAAGTCAACAGAATTCCTTCTGTAGGAGCTCTTAGCCCTTTTTTGTGTGTCACGGACCCCTTGACAGTCTAAAGAAGCCCACAGATTCATTTTAAAAAACCTACAATACGAGATTAAAAAGAAAATTGATTATATTGTTATACAAGTATCTCAGATCTACTACATTCTGTCCATGGACACCTGAAGGATGCTTGGACTCAATGAATACCATTGTGATGTTCATCTATTGTTAAAAATTTAACCTGAGCTGAAAGTAAGTTCTTAGGTTTACGTTTTTTTGATTTCGCAGTATTGATCCACCATTTTGTCACCAATGCACTTTTTTCTTTACAGCCGGATCATAAATGAGGACTTTGTCAGCCACTCATTTATGAATATCTGAGACTCACTTCTCTCTGGAGCCTTTTCACAGTCCCCGTCTCTGCACTGCTCAAAGGCACCCACAGTGCACTCAGAGTCAGGGGCTGGGGCACATTTTACGTCAAGTTCATCTTGCAGAAATGCGAAGTTACATAACATCTGACCTTTCATAAGGGTCCTCTGTTAGACAACTGGGAACTTCTGAGTATTTTACAGCATAAAAACATTAGGGACCTTTCATGGTTTAATTTTCTAATGTGTCTATGATGAAACAATTTTTAAAAGAATAATAAAGTGATACAAATTGTATTTTATAGAACTGTTTCCTGAGGAAGATCCCAGCCCTGCCTGGAGGATGAACAGTCTCCATTTCAGGAACATGTCCTAACGATGTTCCTGAACCCTAATGTTTACAACACGACGTTCTCGTTCGTATCCCATTCTTATTAGACTCGGGTGAAAACCAAGAGCACGGGCATGCCGGAGGTCCTACGGTCTGCTCCTCTCCAGACCAGGGCTTCTCCTCCTTTCTCCTTCCCCTACACTGTGAGCAGGGGCCAACCCCACCTTCAGTTCACTGTGGAAGTGATTCTTAACCCAGGAGAAAGGAAGGACAGTTTTTAGTTTGAATTTAAACTACTCCCCTACTTCTGGCCCCCCAGACTGAAATAATATATCGCGGCTTTCATGTATGCTGTTACTCATTTATTTTTAATCCTCACCCGAGGATATTTTCCCATTCATCTTCAGATAGAGGGGGAGGCGGGGGTGGAGAGAGAGAAACATCGACATGACTGCCTCCCGTGCGACCCCGACCAGGGCTGGGGACAAACCGCAACCGAGGCCCTTGACCGGAAGCGAACCTGTGACTTATTGGTCCTCAGGCCGACACTCCAACCACTGAGCCAAACCGGCCAGGGCTGCTCTTACTCTTGACTCGGCTAAAGCTCATCTGCGCCTGCATCATCCTGTTACTTACTAAACCACCTATTTCATTTATGGGACATCATTAGAACACCTGCTAACATTTACTGAGTGCTTACTACCTGTGAGATGTGCTGAATTGAATGTTCACAATAACCCCATGAGAGACACTATCATCTCCATGTACCAGATGAGGAAATGAGCTGAGAAAGCTTAAGTAACTTACTTAGCTCGCGCAGCCTGTACGTGTCCACGTGGGGACTGAGCCCGAGGAGCCTGACGAGCGGAAGCTCCCACACAAGCGCACACGTTTTGGAGAGCACGGTTCACTCTCCCCAGCATCCTCTTGGTGCTTTTCTACCAGAATGTTCTTCTCTGGACTAAGGAACCAGGGAAGTCTGTCCTTCTCTTGGGTGACTAGCTTGCGTAAATCTTGCAGACATGAAGACTCATCACTTTTATTATTTTCCTGTAAGTGCTGGGTACCAGGAAGCTGGAAGCCAGACTGGTGGCCGTTCTGTTTTGTAGAACCTTAACGGTGGAGAGCTATACTGTGAAGGGATCCCAAACCTGGCTCCTTTTCACTATCCTCTTCTTTTCCTTGTCTCTTTCTTATGTGTAACTTTAAACGTCTGCATATACGAAGTGAGTGGTAACTGATAATTAGTGCTCCATGGGAACCAGGGGCCGGGAGTCAGGAGACCGCGTCTCTAGTTCGGTTGTGAAATGGCGGTAACCACCTCCTGGGCTCAACCCACACTGTGAGGGTGACAGGAAACGTTTGTGGAAACCCTCTGAAGGTTCAAGTTTTAGATAACATTTGAGAACAGGAGAGCCCTTCCACAATCAGTAATGTCGAAAAAGTAAATCTAAGCTTATCCACCAAGCACCTGCTCAGAGTAACGTTACCGAACCGCCGTGAGAGCAGCACCCACCTGGAAAGTACCTTTCTGGAACTTTGGAAATGTAGAACAGGAAAGCGAGGAGCGCGATCAGGTACATCACCACCACACGGGGTGCAAAGTCCTGAAAAGCAAAACGCACTATTCACAGGGCTTCCTTCTGTGACTGAAACCCCGATTTATTATGAACCTTACAGACTGAATGCCCAGGTGGAAGCTACGTCTGTTAAATCTGAATGGCTTTTGCGGACAGTCTCCAGTAGTAGGAACCTCGCTCCCAATACTGCAGAGAGCAGTCCCGAGTGCGTAAGCGGAGTCCCCGAGGGCAGCGCGCTGGGGGGCGGGAGGTTCCAGGGCCCCATCTACAACATCGGTGTGTGGGTGGAGTGCATATGGGGTGCAGTTAGCAGGTGGATAAGCAAAACACTGAAGACCAGGGACTTGTGGAAGACCCAGGGGGTTGGCCCAACAACGGAGTCTGTGGCACCACCCGCGACGACGGTCCTGTTGAAGGTCACGGACACCACCGGAAAGCTTTCCTGCCCTAAGACAATCCGCCGGCCAGCACTTACATATGTTGTTCCTACTTCTGGTTATAAACCCAGTTTACCGATAAGCCAATTAAGAAATTACTTTTTCCCTCTTCAAATATGAAAATTATCATTGCCCTCCCTAAATTCTATATTCTCAGACTAACTGACCTAAGATTTCTCAAACATTCTAGAACGGGACTCCACCCTACCTCCCAGAATTAGCCCTTATGGAACTTTCCATCTTTGGTTAAGTGCTTTTCTTTCTATCTTTTAAAAATTAGAGCTTACTGGAGAATTTCTCTGGGAATCTCCCTTTGCTTCTCCACTGGAATGGTCTGTACGTTAGATTTCCAGCTGAGGACCACTGTCTTCCTAAGCCACATTTTTTTCTGAGTTCTCTAAAATCCACTATATTAATGGGTCCGGTTCTCTCTCTTTGTTGTTAACTTAAAAGGGATGTGTCACCTCATCCCCAAATTTTTGTTACAACCAGTTGTTAATTTCTGATTAGAATTAAATCTAGAGTGGTAGTTCCTTTTTCTACTTTCTTAACTCATTTTCAGGAAATCACAATTCTCAGAAAACAATGTTTTCACAGATACCAGGATCACTGAAGTTTCTTATCACTATCCTCTCATCTTTCTCCCAGTTTCCTAGTCTTAAGAAGAAAGCATCGCCCTTGTCTCAATTTGGCAAAGTGGCCAGACAGATCTTAATCACTCAATTCACTAGATCACAGAACTTCCTCTTTTTAGTTTTCCACTCAAATGTTTTCCACCATGGTGTTGCCAACTTCATGCAATTATATGTAAGCCTACCATCAGTCCTCCCACTTCTAAAAAATCTGACCCTTTCGAATACAACCTGTATTTAAATTCCCATGTTCCAAACAAAGTTCCCATTGCAAAAGTTATGTGGTTTCTGCTACATTTGTGGCTATGTTTACTTATGTTAAAAATTCTCAACTTTACTCACTAGTGCATACTAAAAACATTTTTATGGGGCCCTCTAAGAATGTCTTATTTCTAATCCTCTTCTCAAGAATACTCAGTTTTCACTGAGGTTCTTCCGAATGCACCCCAACTGTGCTCCCATTTTACCTAATGGCTTCTGTTTCTCAATATATATCCTTGGCGGGTGAACATGCTTCCATGGCTCTACCTACTAACAATAATGATTTTCAAATCCTAATTACTAGTCTCAAACTCTAACCTAAATTCTATAACCTAGCTCCACTTTTCTATCCCACAGGTGCCTTAAGCCCAACAGGTCTGAGAAAATCCTTCCCAACTCCCCCTCCTCCACCCACACACACAACACCCACTGCGCCTCCTCCTGTCCCCGCGTCATCACTGCATGTCCTCACCTCAGCTGACAAAGCCAGAATGTGCGAGTCACCCTCCACAGTAACGATGGGTGCTTACACACTCGGGAACAGACAGGGACTTACAAAGGTATTATTTCAAAGAAAGCCATCTCAGAACAAAATGGCAGTTAGACTTTACTTCTGATCCTGCAAAGTATGCTTATCTATATAGGTGTGAAAATTAGGGCATCCGTATGTAATTATAAATATGCTCTCAAATGACGAAGACCCAGCCACTTGGCCTAAGTATACTACTTTACCCAAAAGGAATAAAATAGAAAGGACACACAAAAAAATGGGAAAGACATGGACTACACTCCACCCACCTGTACAATAGGAGCACCTATTCCTCCATTGAGCCAAACCCAGTGAAGAGTGGGAATGACTCCATATCCCGAAACAGAACAGAAGATGACGGAGCGGAGCCGCTGCCACTGCTGCGTGAGGTAACTGGGATGGATCTGCGCAAAGAACACGGCCAGGATCATGCCGAGCACGGTGATCAGGTACACCTGCCGCCAGTACTAGAAGGAAAGGCAATCGGATTGTAATTGTTAATGACGAGGGAATAAAAACATAATTTTGGCTTCTACATTACCCATTCCAAATTATTGACTTCGTAATTTCATTTCTGAACACAGTTACCTTCCTTCCTTCCTTCCTTAAAAAATGCATGTTCCACACAATTTTTCGGTTTCTCAGAATGACAAACCAAATTTCAAAGTGAGCTTGTTGGGAGACCACATTTATCATAAAAAGCATGTTCTGAGTACCTATGAATATGCTGGGGACTATTTATGTCCTGTAGAAACAAAGATGACTGCAGCACAGAGCCGCCCAGTGGGTGAGCTCACAGACTGCGGGAGGGGCAGGCATGCAAACAAATGATTATAATCTAATGATAAGTACTGTAACTGCCTGTCACCTGGAGTAGCTAAAAAATGTTTCACAGAGATGGCATCTAAGCTGGGCCCTGAGGAATACATACAATTTGGTGGGAAGAGGAAGCGCTCCAGGGAGGAAACAGCACAGGCAGCCCCATGCGGCGGGGACGATTGGAGAAGGGAGGCTGAAAGGCAGCTGGGCTGTCAGGCTAAGTATTTAGAACTTTATCATGGGGGCGCTGGGGGAAGCAGAGTTCTTTATTTTTTTAAAGAAAGAGAGGGAGAGAGGGAGGAAGAGTGAGAGAGAAACATGGATGTGAGAGAGACACATCGACTGGTTGCCTCCTCCTGCACAACCCTGACCAGGGCCACGGATGGAACCACAACCAAGGTACATGCCCTTGACTGAAATCAATCCCAAGACTCTTTGGTCCATGGACTGACACTCCAACTGCTGAGCCAAACCAGCCAGGGCTGGGTTTCTAAATGAGCAGCTGAAAACCTGGTCTTGAAGCTCAAAAGTTAGCATCTCATAGGACAGAGTTCCCAACCTGGACTCCAAGCACTTCTATGGGGCCATTAGCTTCCTAAAATCACATGTCAAACTGTTTGGTCTGTTTGTGCCCAAATGTACATTCTCCTGGATGAAGGGCCCATAGTCTGTATTCTCATCCTCAAAGCAGCCTATGTTCCTTAAAAGGTAAAGAGCCACTATAGCAGTGAATATTTGGAAAAGATTAGATATCAGAGGGAAGAAAATTTCTCTTTATGTGATCATGGGCTGAATTAGCCTCAGTAGTTCTCCTTTCTCTCTTATCTATCCTGGACTTCTACTTGTTTCTGAAGAGATTTACAACAAGCTTCTGACTAATCTCTTTGATTATCAGATAGGTTTACAAAGAGGTAAGCAGAAAACAGGTTTCAGAGAAAGAAGAAGAGAAGCAGAGCAATGCGAACAAGACATGACTGCACTCACCAAGCTCCCAGTTAGCATGTTGTCTCTCTCATTTTTTTAAGGACTCAACAGCTTTATGCAAAACAAACAAGTTGTGAAGGCTGAGCAGACATGAATAGATTTTACTACTAAAGTAAAATCAATTTATAACAAGTTAATTGCATATATATTTAATTATATGCTTATATTCCAAAACAACTAGGCCTAAAAATAAATGGCTCAAGTGTAAATGGCTATAATTAATATAATTCTTACATTCAAACCAAATTTATGATTTTTCTCTTTGCTAGTTTTACATTGCTGCTTGTTGACAGTTTTGTTATTGTAAAGCAACAGAGGTCTGTACAAAACTCTTCCATTTCTTCTATAAGTTAATTATGTGCTTATTCAGAATTTCAAAGGAACAATGGCAAGAAAACCCCAGACCTCCATGAAAGGTAGAATGAAAAATGTTTTAAATTACTTACATTATTACAATAAAATGCATAAAATACTCCAGAGACATAGCAGCCCAGTATTCCAATAGAAATTCCTGCATAATCTAACGCCATCCATCTTCGACAGGTTTTTTCTGATCGGTGGCAGGAAAAAAGATGATAGCCCACAGAGCAAAGCATACAGACCTGTGGAAAATAAAACAAAATAAGTGAAACAACAAAAAAAGCTAAAGTGAAACCAAAAAAAAATTAAAGCGCAAAAGTGAAACCAAAAGAAATGAAACCAACTGGTACATGATGTTCAGGGAAGTGGCTAGTCTAGCCCTGGCCAGTTTGGCTCAGCGGTTAGAGCGTTGGCCTGTGTCCGGAGAGACCCGGGTTCGGTTCCCGCTAAGGGCATGTACCTCGGTTGCAGTTTGTCCCCGGCCCTGGTTGGTCATGCAGGTGGCGGCCACTCGATGTGTCCCTTTCACATCGATGTTTCCCTCTCTCTCTCTCTTCCTCTCTCTCCCTCCCACTCTGTCTGTACAAAAAATTGGAAAAATGTCCTCGGGTGAGGATAAAAAAAAAAAGGAAGTGGCTAGTCTAGCCCAGTTTTCCAGTCAAACACACCTGAGCATCAAGTGGAGCCGCACAGTCAGGTGAGCTGTGTTATTTCTCTAAGCCTCAGCTTCCTCATGGGTAAAATGGGGATAACAATATATAAAGCAAGAAATGTAAAATGATAGCTATTTTACAATATGAAAATTTAAAATAGCACAACAGTAGGACAATTATGCAATACGAATGTTTTAAAAATAACCACTGAGGCTTATTTTGCTTTTTAAAAAGTATTTACTACATACGTAATACACGTCCTTAAAAAAAGTCAAAGAACATAGAATTGTATGATGTAAAAAAATAAACCCTTCCCTGTTCAAATATATTCCCCAAAGGTAGCCACTGATAACATTTACATCCTTTAGATATTTTCAATAAATATATAAAAAACTATAATATAGAAGTCTACACACACACAGAACATATACATACTTTTATAGATTAATCAAATGGACTCACATTAAACATTATGTTTTGCAACTTGATTTTTCATATCTGTATGCGATTTCTTTGTATAGAGTTTACTTTTAAGTTCTAAATTAAACATGGCTTTGTTGTGTCCTAGAAAAAATAATTATGACTTTGTTTACTTTATATGGTTGCCAAATTGGGAGCAACCTAATCTGATTCAATAAGCTACTCTGAAAACTGATAAGGTTTCTATGGCTGAATTCCCTGAAGACATGAAAAGCCTGCTGTGTGTCACACACTGGCGCTACAAAGATGAAATCTGTGCTCAGAGAGATTTTTCTGAAACAAGTGAACAAATGGCGATGTAAGCAGTCCCAAAGGGGAAGTCAGCGCAGAGCACGATGAGAAGACACAAGAGGGAGGGTACTGGTTCTGTGGGTGTCTGCAATGGGTAGGTGGGAGTTGTGGGTAGAAGCCCCTGAATGAATGTCAGGAGGTCGACCTGGCATTCATTAAGGACATAAATAGAGATGTGTACATGTTTACTGGGAGGTCCACAGGAAAAGCAGCATATTGAAAAACAGAACCATTAAGGAATGGCATATGGCCTTCTTCATGACACGATTTAAGTTCTATACACCACGGAGTTTTAATTTCTGTATTGTGGGGTAGGTGTGATACTGCTCAAGATCTGAAGTGCATCCTTACAGAAAGGCTGAGACCAGAGTTTACAGGAGTAGCCCTGGGGAGCAATGACAAGAGGCCATCCTAGGCCAGTGACTGTGGGGGTGGAGAAAACAGGACAGATAAACAATTTTATGTAGGTCAAATTGATAAACATTTTAAGCAACTACTGAAGTTGCTTACAATGGGCACAGAGCTATTCTATAATCTGGTCATTAAACCTGATCAATCCCCATAGCCTCAATATCACTATTCAAAACAATGTACCTAGCCACAATCTCATTTCTTTATCTAGCCTAAAATCTTTGCCTGGCCAGTGTGGCTCAGAGGTTGAGCGTCGACCCATGCACCAAGAGGTCGCCAGTTCGATTCCCAGTCAGGGCACATGCCCAGGTTATGAGCCCGATCCCCAGTGGGGGGCATGCAGGAGGTGGCCAGTCCATGTTCTCTTTCATCAGTGTTGCTATCTCCCTCTCCCTCTTCCTCTTCCTTTCTCTCTCTAAAATCAATAAAGAAAAAATATTTTTTAAAAAAAATCCTTATTGGTCTATGGCTTTGGCTACTAAGGTACAAGTCAGTTTACTGACCCATTTAAACATAATTCTAAGAAGCTTGTTATTTGTTTTGTCAGATTATCTTTGAGAGTAAACACAGTAAATCCAGAAAACATCAAGGTGTGTGTTCTTACTGAAAGGGAAAGATGGAAACAGCATGCAGAGATGACCACAGCTCGGCAGCAGATGGCCAGGCAGGTCAGCAGGCTGCAGGTGTGAGGCAGCTGTGCACACACAAACGTCATGAAGAATTTTAACCCCAATTTCACATGTGGTTACCTCTGGGAAGTAGAATTTCAAGTGACTTTTACTTTCTTCCATATTCTTTTTTGTTTGCTTGGATTTCTCCATGAGTATATGTTATAGTGATAATAAAAAACAACAATGAAGCTGATTTCTTTGTGAACAAAGAGGAAACTCTACAGTATCTAAGGGAAAGCACACTAATGGAGAACACTGAGTTTTAAAAAAGTTAACATACACTTAGTATGTCCTGCTTTAAAAGGGATGTGCTATTGTAACAGTTCCTTAGAAAACTGAAAACTTATTTGGTAAATTGAGTATGTTTCAGTTTTCTTCTGTGGAACATCTCACTCCATTGAGGTAGACAGATAATTAGAGTGTGACACCCTACCTCGCTCCTTGGCACAGTAACCAAGTATCTCAGGATCTGGCTCTGGCCTCTCTCTCCAGACTCATCTTTCTGCATTCTCCCAGGATGCAACCAGGAGGACCGGCAACTGCAAGTCCAGAAAGTGTTACGCTGTCTCTTGCTTCTGGGCCTTTAAAAACTGTATTTCCTACTTAAATGCCCTGCCTCACTCTCCCTTCTGCCCTCCTACCCGAGTGGCCAGATCTTTAGGACAGGTTGGTTTTGTTCAGCAGTATATGCCCGATGCTTATTAGTACCTAGATTTAGATAGGAGGCATTTAAAAGTATTTGTTGAACAGAATGTAAATGAACTGAATCTAGTGAAAGACATTATCAGATTCTACTCTTCTCTAAGGCAGAAAGACCTCTGGGAAAATACAGAGCCTCTGAAATCACATTCTATTATTTAGAATGTACTTTGTTAATATGGTTGGGAGGAAAGTGTTGATTAGATAAAATGGGCAAAAGTAAAAAGAGGAAAAAAAAGTGTTTTAAGGGTAAATCTATATTAATACCTGTATTTATGGTTTACCATGCAGCCTGCTGATTCTAAGAATCTGGGGAAATTGGGTGAACAAATTATAAATATAATTTCATAAAAATAAAAAGAACAGATATCTATCTATCTATCTATATATATATTTTATCTCACCCAAGGACATTTTTCGATATTTTGTTCAAATAGAGTGGGAGGGAGAGAGAGAAACATCGATGTGAAAGGGACACATCGAGTGGCTGCCACCCACACAACCCAACCAGAGCCGGGGACAAACTGCAACCGTGGTACGTGCCCTTAGCGGGAACCAAACCCGGGTCTCTCTGGACCGCAGGCCGACGCTCCAACCGCTGAGCCAAACCGATCCGGGCAAGAACAGATATTTTTAAGTAGGGAAGCTGCCTATTTGTCTTCAGCAAGTTTGACTGCGAGTAACAAAGTCACTGCACTGCCAGGTAGGAGAAGGGGTTTCACTGTAATACTGGATGACCTTGGGCATATCACTGTAATACTCTGGGTGTTTCTTTATTGGCAGGTTTTTTGTTTTTTTTTTTTTTAAACTATTTCATCTTTACAGTTAAGCAATGCATTGTTTTCTTAGGCCAATATGAAAACTAACATGTTTTCCCTGAACTAACATCAGCTGTGTCTGGGTGAAGGGGTAAAGGGTAGGCCTAAGGGAGAGGAAGACATGTGGGATTCTCAAAGAAGATGATATCCATATAACTAACAGGACAGTAAGACCCAGTTTTGCTTATTAATGATTATTAAGAGCATCTCAGTCTAGGTTAAGATACATCTGGAAATGTAAGTATAAAAAAATTGGTTAAACCTGAGAAAGAGTATACTTTAAAAATACTTAAAAGGAAAAGTTATTTTCTAATAGTAATAACAATACAAAAATACAGAGTACTCTTTCCCTCAAACTTTAAAATTTGATTCTGGAAACCAGAATTCTAAAAAAAAAAAAAAAAAAAAAAAAAAAAAGGTGGGGATGGGAGATTTTCTGGTGTGTTTCTTAGTCATTTAAACCCAAAGTTTTAGCTTGAGTCAAATGATGGAGGCCTGAAATAAAATGATACATAATGAAAGCAACATCTATGCAGTCAGCTTACAGATTCATCTTTCAAACCAAGTGGCAACAGGTTAACTGCAGGTAGTGCTGGCCTATGTTTGGAGGAAGTGGGATAATACCCTTTTCTTTTCATTTTTAGATTTTCTGTACTTTCTGCACTTTTTTTTAAATTTAAAAACTGTCAACAGGATTTTGGTCCAAATTTAGAATTATCTGCTTGCAAAACTATTAACTGTAACTTCAAAATGCAGTACTATAGATCTTTGGTGGTGGGGGGGGGCGGAGAAGGTGCTAAACAACTAACAAATATGAGAGGTAGAAAGGAGGAGAAACTCAAGTACTTGAAACCAGGCAAGTGTGAAAGAACCAAAGGAAATTAACGATAAAGCAATAAAAAAGATCAGTACCAGCAATAAGACATCAAAATTAAGATGGTATGGAAAAAGGCACAAAATCACAGAGGTATAAATAGTAAAAAGATCATAAATTTTCTCCAACAAGTTTTAAGCAGCCACTGGTGTTCTACTTCAGTCAGGGAATATAGTACAATCAGAGATTCCTATCCTTGTGTTAATCTTAAAGCAGAGATCTCTAAAATGGGAAAGAGAAAAGGAAACAAAGAAATTTTCTCAATCTTTAATATTACTAGATTTCAAATACACTTGAATAACATCCAAATACACTTTCATAAAACACACTTTTGGTGCTTATACTATAAAAGCGAATATGCGAACCTGTATGCTATTTGGGGTTTTTAAATCAAATGGTGGGTGTGAAGTAAGGTCACCTTTCCAATGGTCTGACTAAAGTTCTCTTTCCACTAACAGTGTTTGTGAAATGACTTACCTGGAAGCAGAAAAGACAAATAGAACAAATTACAAAATCTTCTCTGGATGCACTTGCCGAAGGTAACACAGATGTCATGTCATATATTCCCAGTGTGAAGAAGAGAAAGAAACCCAGCAAATGACTCCAGATGTTTACTGTCTCATTAGATAAAATAAACAAACTGGAAGACAAAACAAAACAAAAAATCAGTGAAGTTCAGAATCGTAGTGGCTCACTCACGGCCAGCATTTAAAAGGTTAGGGACAATTTTTCTGGGCTAACACTTGTTACTTTAAGCCCTTAACCCCATCTTTGCCTTTCTAGATTTGATATTTCATTTACTTTAATTAATCTTTCTTTAAGTTTTTCTACAACAAATCCTAGAATCTTAAGAGCTTTTTTGGTGCTCACCTGTATTATCATATTGACTGACCATTTTCTTTCTTGTATTAGAGTTATTTCTGTATAAATTCCATCTTACCCTCCACCCTATTAACTCCCTAAAGACTGGCACCATTCATCTTTATGCCACCACTGTTCCAAGCACAGTGTTTTGCTCAATTTAGATGCTAAATGTCTACAGAAATAAATGTACAGATTAAAATTGGTTATTAGCTAGCATACTTTGATGTTCAATAATGGATATCTGAAAGCCTAAGTGTTAGGTGCAAAAAAAATACCTTTTTAGTATTTGTTAATGCAAATACAAAATTAAATGGACTTGAGAGAAGCAGTATAAATACAAATTGATTCACTGGAAAGTGCTTTAAGACAGGCATGCTGGAACAATTTTTCAAAACCCTGTTTTGAAACCACACTTTCCCGGTGGCATGTTCTTTTTAGGAACAATAGGAGGTTACTACTGCTGACTAACTGGTTTGAGTTTATGTAGCTTTGGCAGCACAGGTTGGTGTTCCCAGAACACAACTCGAGAGTTCTACTGTCCCTTCACCTCCCTCTGCAACACATTAGTTCTGTGATCATGAGCAAGTCACTTAACCTCTCTGGCTTCACGTTCTTCATCTATAAAACAAGGGAGCTGAACTAGATGTTGATACAAGTACCTTCCAGTTCCTTCTTTAATTTTGTGAAATGTTTCTCCTGCTGTGGATAGAACTCATCTATTTATTATTGAAAGGTGACATCATGACTAAAAATTAAAATATTCTTGCATTTCTCTTGCAAAATATAATCTTTCTAAACTAAGTCTGACTTTCACAGATTCAGATTCCGTATTAGTAAGCATTAATATATAACTCTAACCTAAGGAATCTGCAGCAGTCACCAAGGTTCTTGTTTTCCCATTTTCACACATCAAAAACAGCAGGATCTCACACTATCAATCAATCATCAAGAATAAAGAGAAACTTGTATCATGAATTTCAGGCTTTATCCTGAACAAGCATCAAGTATAAGGACTACTTAATACTGTGTAGTGTCGAGGAGATAGGATGCTGGAATGCAAGGGAACACATCTAACTACAGGTCTCTTTTGACAATCAATACTATGCTCTACCTATTGCTTCAGAACTTTTCACTTTGTGAAACTCAGTATAACCTGATTGACTGAACTGGCAGACATAATCTGGGCATGTTCCTCTGAGTATTGGCAGAACAGTTGTGATACAATACCTCACCTTATATCTAAATTCTGTCCTGGTCATGCCCGAGATCTAAAAGAAGAGATGGCAACAGCTGAAACTGGAAAAGACCAAGCTGGTGGGAAGAGCTCTTAAAAGAATATCCCCAATAGAGGACATAATCTTATTCTATGAGAAGTTAGGACCAGATTATTCAGCTTCAAAATCAACAATCATCTCCAGCATCATCATCTGTTCAGCTTTGAAATCAATGGTCATGATGAGAAGGTACCATTCATTATGTACTTAGGCCCTGGTAGGATTTCAAATATATAATCTTATTTTTATCCTTACTGCTTTCTGAAGTAGCAATTGTGATGACTCTCACTTTTACAAATGGGGAAAAAATGGTACAAAGAGGTTAACTTTTGTTCAAGGTCCCATAGTTGTTAAGTGGCAAATCTGGATGCTCAAGTTTTAGACTCAACAGCCCAGGATCTAAAGCACTGGATTTCATTTCTCCATTCATAAGATTTGGATTCTAATAAGAATGCAGAGGCTCGCTGCTAGGTGGGTAGAAAATATTTAAGGCAATTCACTATTTGCTCTATCCTTGTGGAAATTTACATCCACAGCAGGGCCCAGCTCTGATTTCTTGTGTAATAACTTAGCACAGGAGGTACTGGGGAGGAAAAGATTACATAGGATTCAAATTGTGAAGTCCTGTGGGCCATATTAAAGACAAAAAGGGATGGACAGTGAGGTTACCTTGTGACTGTGAGTCACAGAAATTCTTTCAAGGCAGGGCAAAGAAACTGGGGAAAGACCATGCTGAAAAGATCAAGAATCAAACTTGTGGTTACTGCTTGACCATTTCAATAGCCCATATTCCAGCACAGGGTTTATCTCTACAGTGACCTGGAGCTAGCCAACACCCGTATTTTAATTATCTTAGAGTCCTATACTTAAGTACATATAGTGAATTTTAACAGAAAGCTCTTCTAAGAATTAGAACACTAATTTTTCTTAAACCCAGGTTTTAAAGGGACTCTTGGTTTCAAAGGTTTAGATGATGAAATTCAGAGTTGCTTCTATAGTACTCTGGTGGAGGGCGGTGCCCGTTATGGGCTCTTTCCTAAGGTGCTTTTCCTACACAGCGTTTCCCACAATGGTTATGTAATAGAGTAATTATCTTTTTAATGCGTGTCACTCAGGCTGGACTTTCGTAGCTCATGAGAACAAGGGCCCTGTCTGCTGTTCTGCACCACCTGGTAAAGTGCCTGACACCTAGCTGGGGCTCCACAGTATCTGGTGAATGAATGAATCAGGGGTTTCTAAATAAGATAATGTGAACTTGCTTCCTATTACACAGGCTTTATCTGACTCCAATCATCTGAATTTCCATAGGGCTGCTCTAATATAAACAAAGCTTAGGTATACACAGGTATGGCCCAACCATTGTCAGTGGGGTGACTCCAGCACGTATCCCGGTGAGCACCAAAAGGAATGAAAGAGGTAAGCGCCATAGGAGAGCTGGTAATGATGATCATTGTTACCACCATTATTATTCGGTGGATCGAGCACCCCGGCAGCGGCGGCGGAGGGAAGATAACGAGAGGAGAGAGGTGGCAGAGGGGATGAAAAGGACAGGCGCGCAGAAATGCGGGGAAAGCAGCGGGAAGACCAGACAAAACCGGGTAGGCGAGGGCCGCCGGAGCGTCCCCGAGGCGCGCCCCGCGGAGGCGGCAGACTGTACCTTTTGATACACAGCCTGGAGGGCAGGTAGGCCCGGTAGCCGTCGGTGATGTACGGGTTGTCCTTGAGGGACACGGGGATCTGCTCGTAGGTGTAGAGGCGGATGCCGCGGGGCACCAGGACCGGCCAGTACTGGTAGCTGCCCAGCTCGATGTAGTGCGCGCTCTTCAGCAGCTTCTGATGCATCCTCCCCGGCCGCCGCCGCCGCTCCCCGACCGGGGAGCTCGCCCGGGCCCCGCCTCCCCGGGGAGGGGGCTTCGCCGCCGCCGCCCCCGCCCCGGAGCTCGCGGACGCCGCGCGAGGTCCTACGACTCCAGCGCTGCCCAGGCCCGGCTGTGAGCACACACTGGCCACCGGCGCGGAGGCGGCCCGGCGGCGGCGCAGCCCTCGCTGACGTCAGCGCGCCGCGGCGGGCCCCGCCCCCCGGCCGTCGCTCAGGCCGCCCCGCTGGGCAGCGGCGCGCGCGTGCTTGGGCGGCGGGTCGCGTCCGGCTGCTTCAGCGCCGCGGGACGGCTGCAGCCAGCGTCCCTCCTTGTCGGTGAGACGAGCGCAGAGCGGCACCGAGGAATGCAAGTGGTTTTTTCTTTTCCTGTTTTTAACTAGAATCAATAGTTGTGAAATTTTGAAAAATCAAGGCGAAAAGAGTTAACGAAGAAAAATAAGAACCAGAGCTGACTGTTCACCTGTTACTTTATGCTTCGAATCACACACACTTCATGTCAAGGAAACTTTGAGGTTTCTCAGCTAAGGTCAGGAAACCTGATGCACAAGGAACGTTTCCCCAAATCGAGCATCCACGGAGCCATAAAGAAAGCCCCAACACTAAAACCATTCAGAGTATGTCCTCTGACCCAAAAGAATGAAACTAGAAATAAACAGGAAAACTAAATTTCCCCCAATGTCTGAAGTTGAAACGAAATACTTCTAAATATTTAATGAGTTGATGAAGAAATTGCAATGGAAAAGAAATCACAATGGAAATGAGAAAATCTACTGAACTGAATGATATAGAACATATAAAACTTGGGGTGCAGCTAATACAGCACTAGAGGGAGCGTTATAGCTTTGTTTCTGGCTATGAATTGTGATTCAAATGCTTATTTGTAATGGCAACAGGGCATAACATCAGTTTTGCATATATGTAGAACCCTTGGCCCATTGTTTGGCATACACTCATAATAATCAGTCATGATACCTATTATTTATTTGTTATTATGTTAGTAATAATAAAGTTTGAGAGGCAGTATGGCTTAGTGATTAAGTTCTGGGCTTGGAAGCTCTACTACCTGGGTTTGAATTCTTGTTCAACCATTCACTAGCTATGTGTCCTTGTGCAAGTACTTAACCCCATTGTGCATCAGCTTTCTTATTGGTAAAATAAGGATAATAGCCTGGCTGCTGTGGCTCATTGGTTGAGTGTCAACCCATGCACCATGAGGTTGCCTGTTTGATTGATTCCCAGTCAGGGCACATGCCCAAGTTGTGGGCCAAATCCCTAGTTGGGGGCATGCAGGAGGCTGCCAATCGATGTTCTCTCTCATCAATGTTACTATCTCTCTCTCCCTCTCCCTCCTCTCTCTCTAAAATCAATAAAGAAAAAAATATTTAAAATAGGGATAATAATACTTTGTATTGTGATGATTAAATGAGTGAATCCATGTAACACTCTAAGGGAAGTGCCAGGCATATTATTAAGACCCAACAAATGTTAACTAATTATTAGAGTTCAAGGGAAGATATATTAATAGATGAAACTGAAAAGATAAGTTGACTCAATGGACTTAAATGTCATGTAAGGGAATTGAAACATTTTGTTTAAACCTTGGAGCTAAAACTAATATTTGAGAGCTTACAGTGTACCCAGTACGTTACCTTTGCTGAAAGTCACTGTGTATAGGAATTCTCATTTTCTAGTAGAGGAAATTCATATCTGAGAGTACCTGCCACTCTCATAGTTCCCTTCTGGGAGGTTCCTTCTTCATGTATTCTTGCAGGGACCACATGACATTACTTTATGACAACTGATGATTCATATAGATGGATTAGTGGCTCATGAGATGTCCTGACACAGATGTTTATACAAGAGCAATGGTAATTAGCTTGATCAATCAATTTATTTCTTGGGAATTTGACCTGGATGTATGGGAGGAGAACTTGTAGCCTGGTATTTGAAACAGAAGTAGAAAGATGCCCAGAGATTCTCAGAGACAGAGAAAGTAGCTGTGTTACGATAATGGTAGAACACTAGAGTGAAGACCTAAGAATGGCAGCTGCTTTGATTGTCAAAGATGTACCCATGAAACCTGTTACAAAATGACTTCTGGACTAACCTCAGTAATTTATAACCCATTTCAGTTTTCTGTAGTTCATTTCTTTCTGATTTTTAAATTAAGCACTCTTTAATACTAAGCACTTAAACAACCCCATTTATGAAATGAATGGGTAAATACAAAATGATAGTCAAGGCAACAATCCATTTCTGAATCCTAGAGAGAGAAAGAGGTCTGTGAGTAAAAATATTGAAGGAGCTGTTCCACTCAGTTCTGTAAGATAATAGAAGCAGGTGCAACACTGCTTTGGGATACCTCTAACAGATAATAAGGGAGAGGGCACAGTTCCCCACAGATAACCATGGAATTTGGGCACTCTTGGGGCTCTGGCTGCTCAGTCATGATGCTTGAAAGAAGATTTCAGTGGCATGCCTGGTAGAGGAATAACACCTGTGGGGTCTCCAGCACCCGGGGATAGGTGGGAGATCAACAACTGCATCTGGCAGGAGACCTCAGTGCCCTTTAAGTGACAGAATGGGGAGCTGAATCACCAGTACGAGAGAATGGGGAAATGGCAGTGCCCATCATGAGCATCTTGGGTTTTAGAGACACCTGTGGTGGTGGGGGTCGGGGAGTGGGAAGGGAATTCTCCTAGGAGCTGGAAGTCCTACATTCTCACATGGACCTAAGATCCAGAAACCGAATTTTCACTGTAGTTCTATCCTACAGGCACATGCAGTTTGGGGAAACTTGGATTGTGCCTTGTTTTACAGGATAACTTTCAGTGAGCGGGAATGGAGAGCCATGGGGCTGCATGGAGCATTTGGGTGAGTGAGATTTGTTTCCTCTTTATTCCTGTCCCTTCTCCCTCCCTCCCTCCCTCCCTCCCTCCCTCCCTCCCCCTTCTCCCTCCCTTCCTTTCTTCCTTCTTTCTTGTGTATTCTCTTCACATTTTTTACAACTCCAAAAACGTTGGAGTGAAACTCACAGGTATTGGAATGGACACACCAATGAAGTTTATATTTATTGAGTTCCGACTATATGCCACACATTTTCCTAGGCACTAAGAAAACAACGATGAAGAGACATCTTTTAGTCATCTTTGCCGTCTCAGCAGCATTGACATTTTAACCACTCCCTCCATTAAACTCTCTTTTTGGACTTTTAAAATTATAAAAGTCACTCTCTTGCAATATGTAATGGTTTTGTTATCCAAGTGTTCATCCTTTGACATGGTAGTTTTAGTCTGCACATTTTTTAAAATCTCCATGTATCTTTTTGTTTAATGTACAGAATATCTTGTTCCTTTCATTGCTTACAATTTATCTGTGAAATAACTCATAGAGTTCTATAGTCTGGATTCTTCTGTTTGCAGAATCGTGATACAGTTCAGTATGTCACTTTGTCCTTGTATTTTCTGCAAATTGGCAATGGGAGCCAGAGGCTTGATCAGACCCCTTTTCGATCCCATTGATAAGACTATATGCAGTAAGGTGTTCTTTCATCTGGAGGCACCAGATGTCTCGTTTTTGTTCTCTCTCTTTTTTTATCCTCATCCGAGTACGTTTTTCCATTTTTGTTCAGATAGAGTGGGAGGGGGAGAGAGAAATAGAGAGAAACATCAATGTGAAAGGGACACATCGAGTGGCCACTTTCTGCACAACCCCAACCGGGGCTAGGGACAAAGTGCAGCCGAGGTATGTGCCCTTAGCAGGAACCGATACTGGGTCTCTGGACTGTGGGCCGATGCTCTAACCACTGAGGTAACCAGGCCAGGGCATGGTTTTTGTTCTTTCTTGATATTACATGCTATTGATATTCAATGCCTAGATCCTTTAATTTGTGACTGCAAAATAGTGAAAATGAAATTTTATCATTTTGTTTCCACATGTTAACTGGAATAATTTTCATAAGGAGATACTTCTTATCTAATATTTGGTTACTCAGTGGTACAGTTCATATAGGAAAAGAAAGATAAATACTTGATTCTTTCATTTTATTGATCTAGATTTCAAGATAGCAAATTGGTTCCCCTTTATCTTCACAAGGTAGGAAATTCAGTTGACAATTACTTAGAACTAATGAATTTAAAGATAGTTGATCATTTTTAAGACATCGGAGTTCTTGTCTTCATTGATGTTTAAATGGTTTCATTTTTGGTCAGTGGGAGCCTCTTTAAATTTACTCCTTGCCCTGGCCGGTTTGGCTCAGTGGGTAGAGTGTCGGCCTGCTGATCCAAGAGTTGCAGGTTTGATTCCGGTCAAGGCCACATACCTCTATTGTGGTTCAGTCCCCAGCCCCAGTTGGGGTCGTGTAAGAGGCAACCAATCAATGTGTCTCTCTCACATCAATCTCCCTCCCTCTCTCTCTCTCTCTCCTCCTCCCCCCTCCCATACTATCTGAAGATAAATGGACAAATATCCTCGGGTGAGGATTAAAAAAAAAAAAAAAATTGGCTCCTGAGTTCTTATGACATGACTTTGTAGTCTCTGACAGCTTCTTTCTGTCTGCTGTGTCAAGGTGTTCCTGGCTCATCGTGTGCGTTTACTGCTCCATTTTTGTAATCATTTACCCCCCAAAGCCCTTGTGGCAGGATGAATTGTAGCCTTCAAAAAGATTTGTTCAGGTCTTAACCCCTGGTACCTTGAACGTGACTTTATTTGGAAATAGGATCTCCACATAAATAATTAAGTTTTAGATCTCCAGGTCAGCCTGGATTCAGTACGGGCTCTAAATCCAATGACTGGCAGTGTCCTCCTAAGAGAAAGGGGAGGAAGGTTTCAGATGCGTAGGCACAGAAGAAGGCCATGTGAAGACAGAGATAGAGATTGGCGTTATGCCTCGGAACCCAGGGAGCCACCATAAGCTGAAAGAGGCAAGGAAGGATTCTCCCACAAAACCTTCAGAATGAGAGTGATCTCTGTAGACTGAGGGCTCCTGACCTTCAGACCTCGGAGAGGTCTGTTGTAAGCCACCAAGTTTGTGGCAGCCCTAGGCAACTAATACAGATTTAGGTTTTTGGAAGAGGGGTGCTGCCATAGCATAAGCTAAAAATGTGGAGGTGGCTTTGGAATTGGGTAATGG